CAACAACGCTACACATAAAAACTGATGATGGTGGAAATCACCGAAACGTATTTTAATTGATAAATAGAGACAATAAATGACTGAAACCCAGGAATTGATTTTGATAAACAGTAGCAAAAATCACTTTTTTGTACAAATACTTACCAGTTATGAAATGTCTTAAGCAAATACGATCATTTCTCATATAGATTTCACGTAGAGGCCTCCCGGTTTAAAGCCTTAACACAAGCATTTCGACGTTCACTAGAGGAAGCATTCTAATCATCTCTCTCTTCTATGTCTCGCTAAAATCGGAAAAAAGAAACCTTATCTCGTTCAGCACGCATTGAGCATTAAACGACACTGCAAAAATGTGGCATTTTGAACCAATTGCATAAGTAATACAAAATTTGAACAGTACTTTAATTTTGCAGTACTTATTTTTTATACTGACTTGCGTATAATGTGTTAAAATAGCGCAAACTATAATACTGCATGAACGTATTGGCCGACCAATAACTCTCTATTGTTTCTGGAATTTTTAACCGAACTTGCGGACTCCAATGGGGTTTTAAGTGGTTTGCTGCCAACTATACCTATCAGGTGTCCCTGCTAAAGACGCAGGCCGGATTAGTGAACCTGCTGTCGTCCACATCCAGCTTCTTCACGCTGTTGTTGGCTTCGATTTACCCTTCAAGTACTGCGGATAAGTTCACCATCTCGAAACTGGCTGCAGTGATTTTAAGCATCCTGGGCGTGGTAAGGCTCTGGTTGATTCCCCTTCAAGCCACCAGTGTGCATCCACCCTTTTTCCGATTTGCAGCTGTTGTTAAGTCTATCCGACATTAAGCAGGAGGCAAACATTCCCACTGGAGCAGTCCTTGGATTGGTCAGCGCAGTGTTTTATGCAGCCTATTTGGTGTTCCTCAAACGAACTGTGCCCAATGGGAACAGAATCGACATTCCCATGTTCTTTGGTAAGGCCCCCCAGCCAACCTGATGGCCCGTTGATACTGATTTGACCTTTGCCAAGGCTTCGTCGGGCTGTTTAACCTGCTGCTGATGTGGCCGCTGTTTGTGTTTCTGCACATCACGAAGATCGAGACCTTTGAATGGCCCAACCGGGAACAATTGACGCTGCTGCTCCTAAATGGGCTGCTAGGCACGGTTGTGTCTGAGGCCTTGTGGTTGTGGTGCGGCGCATTCGAATCATTGAAAGTTCAGTTGTATTGATCGGAACTGGGTTTTAGGGGCTGTTTCCTTACGTCTTCGCTGATGGCCACAGTCGCCACCAGCATGGCGATCCCCATTGCCTTTGTGGCCGATGCGATACTGAAACACCTCGACTATTCGCCGCTGTTCTACCTTGGGACGATTTTTATGATTCTGGGGTTTCTACTGGTCACTGCCTACACGCATTTCGAAAAATGGGACCCAGTTGCCAGTGCGTTGCGATGTGCCTATGCGAAGGCTTGCAGGAGAACCATGAGCTTACGGTGGGTAACGTGGGGACTGGGGGATTTTAGTGCTTGAGTCCGTTCTTTTGCAGTTCGGGAGCGAGCGGCGTCGCCTGCGAGCAAAGGGAGTCCTTGATGACGTCGAACACCGACTCGGATTAGGGCTAATTTTGCAATCTAGTCACTTTTCATGTTCACGCTGGGGCCCTCAAGCCTACGGCTTGCCAAGTTCGGAGGAGTCGCACATTTGAAGTGTTCGCCAACCCATTAGCGCCCCATACACGGGCAGATTATCCGTACAGTTCAGATGCGTAGAGATTTGATTCGACAGATCCAGATCGGACGAATTAAATCTTTTGCTGTCCACTAATTAACATATCAAGCACGAGTGCCGATTCTTCCAGTCGGATTGGAAGTATCAAATCCGTCCGTTAGTGGAGTGAAATCTTACGTTTCAGACAGACTTGAGATTTCAAATGAACTGAAAGATCTGGTCGTGGTAGAGGCAGATTAGTTAAACTCAGTGTTTAAAATGCGAAGCAAGAAACGAATAGCTATTGCTTGTGCTGGCATCATAGTGGGTTCAGAAAATCTACGCAAAAAAGTGAGAAGAAAGTGGGTATAGACTGGAAGGGCGTCGGCAGCCATAGGCAAAAAAATTAGAAATCGAATGCACGCTGGGATTTTTTTTTATCAACACGTTGTTATTAAAACAGTTAAATACATAATTATAGAAAATCAAACGATGCAAACGGAACTAATTAAAACCAACGTTAAAAAGGCAAATTGATCTACCACTTTCTTAGTGAAATACTGCAAATTCTGAGAAACACATGTGTTCTGTGCACACTAATCATTAGGTACCCTTTAGTTAAACCCCGGCTGTTCTGGACAACCTATTTGTTCGCTCATACAGTTGTTCGTAAAACCTATATTTTTAAATTTGAGCTTATATTATTAATGACTACTCTGATTTACTTTTGTGACTTCATATCTGAAATATATCGTATTTAGCGTCGCCTCTAACAAAGAACAAACTATTTCTACCACAATTTTTGCAGTTAACAATTGAAAATGTAAACAT